GACCCGAAGGTTCCTGGCGGGCGTGAGCGCCGGAGCCGGAGACCCACCTTTCTCCCGGGAAGAGCCTACTCCCGGCCCGCCCGCTGGTGGATCCTGCCCCGCCGGCCCCGCACTTCCTGACCTGAATTCCTGAGGACGGCGCATCCCTTCCTCGCCTCCTCCAACTCTTCCCTCTCTGGGCTCCATCACGCTTGCCGCTTTGTTGTCCCTCGGTGCGAAAGTGCGTTCTCTGCGATCGTGTCTCATTTCCCTGTGGCTGAGCTGCTGTTTTTGTTTTTGTTTTTTTTTCCCCCGTCCTCTTGTTAACTCCATCGATCATCCGTGGAAGTTATTTCTCCCTTAGCTCTTGGCGCTGACCTCCTTGGTGACAGTGCCGTGGGAAGCCTTTGCCATGTCCCCCGGATGCCGAGTGAGGGGACCATCCCCGCCCACGGCCCCAGGCTGCTGGGGGCGGGGGTGTATCTTTCCCTCCCGGAGGCGGGCAGCAGGGAGTTTCAGCTTGTCCTTGGGAAATGCATTCTTGGAAGGGATGTCTTTCCCAACAGCCTCCTAGCACTGGGCTTCGTGTCTCACCCGGAAGCCAGTGTTCAGGGTTCTTGCTCCCAGCCATGCCTCGTGGGGTCCAGGCAGGAGGTTCCCTGCTGTGGAGGTCGCAGTGCCCAGGGTCTGGGGTTAGGTAAGGGGCAGGTCTTACTCCCTCTCTGGGGACAGATTATTCCCAGGAGTGGCCCAGGGATGCAGTGGGTGGGCCCCTCCCCACACCCTCCCCATCTCCAGGAGCTGGCCCGGGTCCTCTTTTAGGATGCAATTGGGGTCTTGCATGGGGACCTCAAGTTCAGGAACCTGCTGTCTGCAGCGATTGAATGGAACTCCAACCCAGGCTTGGCTCAGATTGCTTACTCTGCTTTCAAAAGCCAAACAAAACCAGCAAACAACTCGAAAAACGGTCTGAGTCATCTGAATGTGTGTGTTTGTCTGCTTCGGGCCCTGGACGTGCTCCTGTGGTTTGCTCGGTGCCACCGAAGGGAGCTGGGGTTTGCAGGCCGCGGAGGGTAGAAAAGGCCCACCCAGCAGGAGGCGATTGGTTTGCAGGAAGGGAGCCCGGGTGAAGCAGTCGAGTTGAAGCTAAAGTTTTGCAAGAGAATGCACAGAAGGTTTCTGAGACGCTTACATTTTTTTCTTTCCTTTTTTTTTTCTTTCTCCCCAGACAGATAAGGAGCCCTCAGAGTCAAGCAAGGACGGAATGACGCTCACTGGTTCCAACGCATCTTTGAGCTGCCAGGCAGAGGGGCCTTTGCCGCTGGTCTTTCTTGGACCGATCCAGAGAGGTAGGTGGGCGAAGGAGACCAGTGGGATGCTGGGAGAAGAGATGTTATTTTGTGGATGAGTTGACACTGGAATGTAACCCTCCGCCCTCCCCGACCACTGAGCCACAGGAGAACCGTTCGTTCGGTAGGACTAGAGCCGAGAGGGAGAGAATGACCCGAATTTGTGTGAAGAGCCCGTACTCGGGAAGTGAACTAGACCTTAGCCAGCTTCCCAAGAGAGGATGCTGCTGCTGGGACAGGAGGGGGTGGGAGCTGCGGGGAGCCCTGGAGCCCATGGTTCAGCTGCAGTGTTTGGTGTTTGACTTGCCCCCGTCCCGGTAGAATTGGGCTGGCTTATTTGGGGAGAGAAAAAGTAAGGCATTCTTCCAAAGGAACTGGCTGAATTTTGATAACTCGGTATCTTGCTTCTCAAGGAGTCCTTAACCGGGGACATTGTGTCTCTCCAGAGAGTTGGCAGTCACTGTATCAGTAATAGGATGCTCCTTGGAGCTTCTAGAACATTAGCTTGGAGGATGAATGCGGTCCTTTCATTGTGCCAGTGAAGAAACTGAGGCTGGAGACTGGCGTTGGCTGGGCACCCCACTCTGGCGCCTGGGAGTAGCTGGGTATGGTTGGGGAGCTCCCAGGTCCATAGGCTGCAGTCCCCTTTGCAAGCTCTGTGGGTACGTCTGTATCCTGTGGGCACGCAGCTCTTTCCTCCTTACCCAGATGCTTGCACCGCTACTGTCATTTCAGGATGGAAAGGGTGCGGGTTATAGCGTGGTATCATCCTTGGAGGCCCCCTTAACGTCATTTTCTCTAGATCTTCATTGGTACTTTCCAAATTTTTTTTGTTTTGTTACATGTGGATCTCTTTTTAAAGATCAAAATATTTAGCAGAATTTTAACCCATAAAGCAGGTAAACATAGCCTCTGTGTCATAGGCCAGGAGACTGGCCCAGAATTCCTTGATTCGAGTTTCTCCTACGCACCTTGATACTTGTTTCAGAAGATGCCTTTTCATAATAATTTTTTAACCCTCAATGTTTTTATTGATAAGAATACCCATTTACTGTCAAAAATTTCCAAAATGAAAAAAAAAATGCAAGCGTAACTCTCCTGTCATTCCCCCCACCCGGCACCAACCACTGTTTCCTTGTGGGAATATCCCCCCCACCCACTAGTCTTCTGTGTGTATCTTTGGAAACGTGATTTTTATTTATTGTTCAGTATTATTGCGGACTTCCACACGAGCATAACTGATTGAATGTATATGTCTGTTTCTGCTCTGTTTCAAAAGCCCACTAGACCGAGAGTAAAGGTATAAACCTGTAAGAAAAAGAACAGGATGAGAGAGGAGGAGGGATGTGAGCAAAAATGTTGACAGATACTAAACAGGTGGGGGAGAGAGGCCGAGCAGAGAGCACTGAATGTCCTGTGTTGTGGGGGAACAGGCTGATGTGTCCATAGGACCCCCCTACCCCCCAGGCTCAAGAATGGGGGCTACAGTGTGTCCCCGACCTGATGTAGAGGGTGCTGGGAAGCAAGAAGATGGGTTGCAAGTGTGTTTAGAGCCACAGACGCCTTGCTCAGCCCACATAGCCAGGGGTCTCCATCTCCCGTTGGGCCAGCCGGGGGCAGGGGAGGCTGAGGAGGCACCCACCGTCCTGAGAACGGGAGGATTCAGGGACACCCTCTCCTGGTTGGCTCCCGGACCCGTGCAGCCTGGCTCAGCCCCACCCTCCACGCAGGGCCTTGAAGACCTCCTTTCTGAGAAAATTGACCTCATGAGAAAAATGACCCTCGGATACTAACATTGGGGGGGACCCTGTTGAAAAGATAGGCTGCTACTTCGTCACTTGGCAGTGACACCTACTGGCAACTAGCCCTGCCTGTGCGCAAACAGCTTGGGGTGCCTCGCTCTGCGATTTCAGCGGCAGCTGCGGGTCATCGCACACAGCATGAGGCCTCGACCGGAAAATACAGAGACCCCCACACACAGAAAGAAGGGATTCGGAAGTCAGAGACATGGTTGTTTTAAAAAAGGGAACATTCATAAAACAGTAATAAGCTATTGGATATGAAACTATGATAGCAGTAGTAAAAATTTCCATGGGATAGAGCTGGAAGATTGAAAAATAAATTCCTAGGAAAGGTAAGAAAATGAGAGAGTCAGCTTGGGAGGCCCAGTATCCATCCCATAGGACCTCAAGAAAACGCGGGGAGAGAAACGGAGCAGGGGGGAGTTATCCAAGAAACTACAGGAGAAAATTCTGGAACTGAAGGAGTCCCCGCGTTAAGCGTCTCTGAGTCGTGCTCAGCACAATGAATAATAAAAGAAGCGGCACGTGAAGGAATGAGATGTGCCGCAGGACATCATTATGAACTCTCAAAGCGCCAGAGATAGAGAAACGTTACAAAAAGCCAACAGACAAAAGCGGGCACGTAGAGGAGGTCAGAACAGGATGGCATTGGACTGGACACACGCAGCACGAGAAGCGGCAGCACAATAGAGCCACTCTTCCAAGCCTCCAGGGGAAATTCATTCCCAGCCCAGAACCCTGTAAGTGCCATCCCAAGCAAAATAATAAAGCTATTTTTTAGGCATGAATTTTCACAAACTTGACACGCCCCTCCGCCCCCCTGGTGACTCTTTTCAAGGAAGATCCTGGAGGCTGTGCTCCAGTCAGATGAGAACGTAAACCAAGAAAGAGGAACAGGTAGCGCGGTGTGCAATTGTCCCTTGTTCCCATCGGGCGCCGCTGCCAAGGGGCCTTCTGTGTTTCAGCTGTTATCTTGCCGGGTCTCGGGAGTGGCGAGAAAAAAGAGACACTTACCCCACCATGGGACCTGAGAACCGGTCCCTTCCAAGCCTCCCCCGTGGCCAGGACCTGTGGCCTGGGCTCCACTGATGAGATGCACTGACGTCAGACTTGACACAGAAGAGAGGGATGACGGGTGGACTGTGTCCCTGCAGCAGTGACGGGCGCAGAAGCGGCAGGGGTGCAGACTGACACCCAGCGCTCGGTGGCAGCGGCAGGCGTTTCGCCGACAGACGTTCAGTGCGGAGTTCGCACCGTGGGCCGCAGTTGTATTTCTCGTCTTGTCCGGCTGTCCGTTTCCCCGGACTTGATAGTCGCCTCATCCTTTTGTTTGCTTTGTTTCCAATGTACGGATCACTCATCCTTCCTCTCACCCTCCAGCGGAACTGTGGCCTCCTCCCAGGGCGCCAGCCGTCCTGATCCACCAGCTCCTCTCCTGCTTGGCTCACCCGGGAGCGGTGGCTTCTTTACTTGCAGCCAAGAGCCCAGGCGGGGAAGGGAGTGCCTGTGATGGTGCAGAGAAGTGCAGAGAAGTCCCGGCACCGCAGCCACGTGGCCGGTCTGCCCGCTCGGACAGGGTCGCCGAGGGCCCGGGAGGAGTAGCTCCAAGAAGAAGGGAGCTGGTGGCTCATCTGACATATTTGCTGCATTTTAAGGAGTTTTATAGCTCCTGTGGGAGAGTTTGGGGGGGAGCTACATAGCCGTACATAGAAAAACAAAGAAAATGAAAAGTGAGGCAACTATCAACTACAGGAATAACAAAAGGTGAACAAGAAAGGAAATAAAATCATAGCGTACCGAGTGGCCTGGCTTTGAACAATGTTTACATAGTAAGCGCTGATGTTTGACTAACGAAAAACGACCCATTACTATATTCGGAAGACGGACGAAAGGATGTGTGTGTGGGTACTTGTAGGGAAGCACAAACTTACCGTAGGGTAAGAAGTTCAAAGTTGAAAACCCGAAATATCAGTGCAAACCTATTGTTTGGAAACGTAGAGACAAATATCCAAAGAAACAACTGAAATTGGGAGTGGTACGTTTGCTTGTGGAGGTCAGGGGACTACTAATTTTTGTTTATTTTTTTTCTGCAAGCATTTTAGTTTTAAGCAATTCTTTTTTTTTTTTTTAATCCTCACCCAAGGATATGCCCTTTACTGATCTTTAGAGACAGAAAAGGGGGAGAGAATGAGAGAGAGAGAGAGAGAGAGAGAGAGAGAGAGAAGTCAGTCGGCCACCTCCTGTATAAGCCAGGAATGGGAATCAAACCCCCAACCCAGGTATGTGCCGTGACCGGGAATTCAACCCACAGCCTTTTGGTATATGGGCTGATGCTCCAACCCACTGAGCCACCCAGCCAGGGCTAGTTTTAAGTGATTTTAACAATCATCTGCTTGCATAACTTTCATAGATACTAACGTTGAAAAGTCCTATTGTGACATCCACATGCACCCATAGTCCAGCAGTTTCCATTTTCTCGATGCTTCCTGCACTGTTTTGCCCACAGGCATGTTGCCAGGATGGATGGGTGTGTGTGTGGTGTCATTCAGTGCCTGGTGACCACGCCCACTCCTTTAAGTTAGCGAGTGATCGTTGACTTAGTCATTTCCCTATTACTTTAGACTTATCACTTTTACAAACAATATCACAATGAGTACCTTAGTGCCTGTAGTTTTTTTAGCCTTTGAATTGCTTCCTTAAGACAGTTCCTGAATTCCCCACACTTCCTGGCCTGAGACCATGGGCTTTCCTACTGACTTGTGTGTGCAGTGTCGAGGGATCCCCTGGGGTGCAGCCCCTCCCCAGGTGGGCCTGGGACCAAGCATCAGGGAGATAGTTGGGATAGAAATTTGCAGGTCGTGGTTCACATTTTCTGACAGCAGCAGGGGTCAGAAGTCTTTTTTTTTTCCATATAGAACAAAATTTCCAGATCCACACCTCTCACTTTTGATGTCTGTCTTGCTTTCCCCCATTGAAGATACTTTTTCCTTTTTAAGTATTCAAATTACAAGTTACTCTTCTTAATTTTTTTTTTTTTAAAGTTACTGTCCTGTTGAAAACTATGGCCTCTCCCTGGCCGGTTAGAGCATCGGTCCATGGACTGAAGAGTCCCGGGTTTGATTCTGGTCAAGGGCATATACCTGGGTTGCAGGCTCGATCCCCAACCCCTGGTCGGGCGCGTGTAGGAGGCAACCATTG